GGAGTCCCAGTGTTTATGTGCTGTTTTTGAAAAAGACTGTTCCCATTGGCTTCAGACAATCCACTGGCTGCTACTGCAACAACTGAGCCTTTGAGCCTGCTTCTCTCTGAGAGGAGAAGCATCCATAAAGTAGTCCCCGACTATTTTTCCAGAGGAGGGGTGCAAATCAAGAGCTTTAAACCTCAACTGCTCCCCAGAGAGTTTGCTAGACTTCAACCCTGCATTCTGTTCCCTGACTTTGTGCACCGTCAAGTTGCAGCTCTGTCCGTAAAACACACTCTGTGGTAGTTTGACCTCTTCTTCAGTCCTGGTTTGACAGGTGAACCTGACGGTCTGAGGGTCAGGGGACACATTGGGGTCTCCTAATGGACTGTGCGTGGGGCTCCCGGGCCCCCTGTAGAAAAGGCCTTTTCCTTTATGTGAATGCATTTGAGTGGGAGTCTGTGAGAATGTTTTTCTGTTGAGTTTTTGAAAGGCCTGCTGATAAGGAGGAGGATTTTTGGGCTCTTTACATTGTAAACTCATTTCAATATCAGTGATGTTCCTCTGATGATGTGGCGGAGATGATTTTTCGTTCGGCAAGCTGTTTGAGTTTTGGTAGTCTGCGCCATTTTGAGCGAGCAAATCAGATTGTCCCTTGTCTGGAGAGTCCTGAGGAGAATGACGAGTCATACAGGTGGACAGAGAAAATGGACTGTCTATTGAACTCACAGATGTATGTGTTGGTGAAGTTCCTGTCGATGACACATTGGAGGTTGGTGGAGTTTGTTTTTCTCTCATGAAATTCAGTTGTTGAAAGCTTTGTTCCAAAACCAAATTATCATTGACCTCATCAGGTCTCTTAAACTCTTCATGTTTTCCACTTTCTTGGGTTACTTCCTGCTGATGAGAAGTCAAAGCAATGGTGGACATGGAGCGTCTGTATAATTTAAGGGATCGGAGCTGTCGCACTGCAGGTGAAAAGTTCCTGAGTTGTGCCAATGGGGTGGAAGACGGCAGGTGGTTTTCTGGAATATCGAGGTCACAATCACTCAGTGACATGAGTGAGTCCATACTACGACTGTCTTTCAGAGGACGGCTCTTAGAAATGTCCTCTGTGTCTGTATTCACCTCATTCTTTAGACTCTCATAACCTGAATCTGACATCTGCTGCAGGGACCCAACTAGAGGCGGGAAGAGGAAAGAAATATATAGACTATAAATTTTTTTTAAACATAGTAAAAGAAATTGTGTGAAAATGTGTTGATGTTGATGTTTATGAAGTTACAGTATTTTTTGAACTGATCTGGGGTCTTCATGTCATTTTAGGAAAAGTTGTTATAAATAATGCTGAAATAAAATACATTATAAATATTAGATGAAATATTTAAAAATATTGAATCTAAAAACATTAACATAATTAAATAAAAATTATAAATGTTGCCTTGGCAGCTTACTAAAATAAATGAGTATTTTATGTTACTTTCCTATACATTTTCAACAAGGGAAAAAATCAAGTTGATTTAATCACTAACTAATCATTTCTTAAATTAAAAAGCAGTTGAATTAGCTGAAGCACATTTTTCCGGCTGAAAGAAATATTATACAGTGTTGTTTTGTGTTGGTGTGTTGTGAATTCTGTATGTATTTATAGTAACCTGATCCACTGTTGCTTCTATTGTCCTCAGTCAAATCCATTAAGAGGGTTATAATTTCATCCCCAAACAACGCACAGCAGTTGTCAATCAAGACACGCACAAGGTCACACACCTGTGTACAGATTACATTGGCAATTACATTTACCTTTCCTTTCCTATTTCTATTATATTTTCCATTCACTGCCATTTTCGTGTTCTTTGAGAGCCATAACGATGATTACTTCAGCAGATCCTCTGTATAGTAATCTGGTAATAATAAAGCATGTGCATGTGCGCTTACCTTTTTGGCGTCTTTTTCATGAGATAGCGATAGTTTGCAATTCCACAGACAGCTAGGTGCTATACACACAGCCAGGTTAAAAGAGGTCATCTGGTTGTGCTCAGCATTGAGTTGTATGTGGTGCAGCATCGCTATCATGTGTCTCAGCAGCAGGAGATTTTCTTTAGGTAAAAGC